TCCACCCCCCTCACCCCCCCACACACGCGGCCAGGTGATCTGTGGCTCCATTCCCTGACTCACCACCTCTCCAGGGGGGGCCACCTGAGAACCGCCTCACCCGGTCAGCTGTGCCAGATACTCTGGGCCATGCACCGACTGGAATTTACACCCGACCCAGACTGGCGGATGGACTGTACGGCAGCCGTACAGGCTGCTCTGACCGCTAGTAGTAATGGTGGTGATGGTGGTGCAACGGCTACTGCCGCTTCAACACCTGTAGCAACGGGGACCGCGGGATGTCCGGGGGAAGGGGGGGAACAAGCAGCAGTAGCAGGGGGGAGGGGGGGAGACACGTCGGCGTCGGCAGCCGCGATTGGCGGCGGTAGTAGTGGCGGCGCCGCGTCGTCGTTGAGTCGGAAGGGTACGACCCGGGGGCGGTACGACAGAATGGCCGAGCAGGATAGCGAGGATGACGAGCTGTACGATAGCTCGTCCAGCATAGATGAGTTGGATCCAGATTTGGAAGCGGTAATGGACGAGACGCTTGCTGGCGGCGGCCATGGCCGCAGCGGCGGCGCGGGGGTAGCGCTGCGACGGTATGGCAGCGGTTACGCTGACGTGGCGTCGCTGTTGCTGTGGTCCGTACGGATGGGAATGGCGCCGGGAGCTACGGGAATGCAGGTACGGCCCGTGACTGGTTGCTCAAGAGACACGTGTGTATTGTCGTATTCAACTCTGCTTTCCTTTATACCCATGTTAATCCCCCGGGACCCCGGTGTGTATTCGCATACCTTCATATCCTGTTTAGGCACTTCCGTTTGAATGCTCCTCGAACGTATTGAGTCTATGGTTCGACGTCCTCAGTGCGTCCCCGTCCCCGCAAAACACACACGGCTCTCCCCGCGGACACCCCCCTCCCCCGGCCTTGGATCCCTTCTCACGCCCCCTCCCCCTTCCCTGCTCTCGCCTTTTCCCCCAACTCCCGGGGCCCCAAAACATACATACATACATGATACATACACGGCGAAAAGGCCTGTTTGGAGCGCCTCCATCCCGGCCTGCGGTCTCTTCGGCGAGTGCACCTACTGCGGCTGCTGCTGGCGTTATCGGAGTCCGGTCACCGGGCGAGCGAGGGCTTCATGAACCGACTGCTGGCGTGCCTCCAGGTGAGGGTGTGTGTATGTGGGAAGCGGGGGAATCTTAGTCCTTGTGCGGTGAATAACTCATGCCTCATGTAATGCTTGTTATCGTACTGCCGTACCGCCACGTACTGTCGTTCTATTTACAAACAGAGGTCGGCAAACCCTGAATAACTGTCACGGGTACTGGTGCCAGGGTCGAATAACTGTATATGGAATTTTTTTGGTAAAAGCCGAGGAAAGAGTGTCTTCGGGCCGATGTACCAAACTTACTACGTTACACCATCGCTGTTAAAGCCACAGCCGTCTTGTTGCGCCCAATTACGGAGAAGGTTGTTCATCAAGTCCCTCAGCCACTTAACTGCTCAAATCCGCATCAGAAGTCGTATGGGGGGAATTTCTGCACCCTGCCGTACGGCTGCCGTACCCGTGATGAAGAATAGAGGTGAATTTCTTCAACGGGTACAACGGAAGGACCAGCGGTGGTACCAGCGGCGTTTGCCGATCTCTGTTTACAAACCGCCCACCCGGCAATCCGCCCTCCTTAATCCCAGACGACATATTCCTAGGCCTCTTCCCCCCCTTCAACCCCCGTCTCCACCCCTTCTTCCCCCCTTCACCCCCCCGTCTCCCTCCCTTCTTTCCCCCTTCACCCCCCCGTCTCCACCCCTTCTTTCTACCTTCACCCCCCCGTCTCCCCCCCTTCTTTCCCCCTTCACTCCCCCGTCTCCCCCCCTTCTTTCCCCCTTCAACCCCCCGTCTCCCCCCCTTCTTTCCCCGGTTGCCGTACAGCCCAAGCTTCCCCTCCTGGGTGCCACGCAGCTGACTCAGACACTGATGGCCCTCAGTCGGTTGGGCTTCGTACCGCCGCAATCCTGGCTGGTAGCATTTCTCAAGGTGTGGTGGGTGGAGTGCGGGTAAAACACACTGGGTGGTTCGGTTACTCCTTCCCCCCTCCCTTTGCTCCTCTCATCAATTCTTTTTCTCCCCGCCGCCTAATGCCGTACATACCGGGCCCATCAGGCGTCCAGGACTCAGCTACGGCACTACACCCCCTCCCATGTCACGGCAACATGTCAGGTAAGAGCACGTGTCTGTGTGTGCATGTGCTGTATGTGTGTATGTATGTTTGTGTCGTGTGTTTTTTCTCTCGTTCCCAAGAGTTTCGTATCATCGTGTCGATTTCGGGTTTTCCGTACATCTTGTTTTATCTCTCTCCCCCTCGCCCTCTGTAGCAAAGCTTCGCAAATCTGCAGATCATGTTATTCCTTGAACCCCTGCGCGCCCTTTCGTGGTCCCTCAGCACTCACCCAGCACACACGCCCCTCGCGTCCTCCCCCAACCTCACTGCTCGGGTGCTGTGGACCTGCCGGCGGCGGACCCCTCCCCGCTCTCCTCCTTGCATGTGCGCGTGTGTATGTATGTATGTATATATGTATGTATGTATGTATGTATGTATGTATGTATGTATGTATGTATGTATGTATGTATGTATGTATGTATGTGTGTGTGCACACCCCCATGAATGCCCTCCAACCCTCCCATGTCCCTCACATGATTTCAAAACACATACACACGTGCACACACGCGCACATACACACACGCTCCCCCCCCAGGTGTTTGCCGGCTGGCAGCTCCGCCCCTCCCGGACTTACCTGCAGTCGCTGCTGGCCCTCATGGATGCCCTCATGCCGTACTTTCCCGCGGAGGGGCTGGCAGCGGTGAGGATCGGGGGTAGGGAGGGGAGAGCTGTACGGCATGGTACGGCACGGTGTGGTGCGGTGCGTAGGTTTGCAGGGCAGTCTTTTCAAAAAGTATTGTGCAAGCCGGCTTCGCGTCTCTTGTCGCCCTTCTTCTCCGACTCCTCTTTTCTCGTCGTTCGCATACGTCGCATCCATTCGTACACATAAGCATGCATACATACATACATACGTACCGCATTTTATATTTTCCCCCGTCGTGCCCCCCTTTCCCTCACTCAGGCTCTCCAGTCTCTGTCCGTACTAGCTGTGAAACCCCAGCACCGGTGGGTGGCTCGAGCGCTGGAGCACCTGGTGGCGGCAGCCGAGCGAAACACCTCCACCCCCCCCGTCACGGGGCTCGCGGTATCAGAGGACCTGGCGGCTGTGCTGGTGAAACCCTCACACCCCCAACTCCATCATCACCACCGCCACCATCAACATCATCAGTACGGCGATGGTGGTGATAACAGCGGTCTCAGGTCATCCCTAACGCACCAGCTTCCGGACGCCACCACCCCCACCACCTCCACCCCGGGGGCTGGCGGGCCCCCTGGAGCGGAGTCGAGCTCCTCGCTGACGGCACTGGGTACGGCTCCAGGGAGGCTCAGGAGTACAGCAGTGCAAGGGGGATATCTACCGGCAGCGGCAGCGCCGCTGACGGCGGTTATGGCAGCAGCAGCGCAAGCGCCGCCGCCGCCGCCTGTCGGCGGCGGGGCGGCGGCGGCTACCGCCGCCGGGCAGCCGCAGCAGCAGGCGATGCGGCAGCAGCAGCGGGCTGCGACGGCAGCGGCGCTGGTGACGGCCGTTTGCAGCTTGCGGGGCATCGTACAATTTGACTCGGGGGGTGGAAGGCCTTTGCGGACGGCGGCGGCGGCAGACAGCAGCAGTAGCAGCAGTACGGCATCGTCGCCTCCAATGGACGGCCACCTTGGGAACGGTAGCGATGCACATGCGGTGCCGGCGGCGGTGGCGACGGCGACGGTGGCGGCGGCTGATGGTACGACAACGCTGCTGCCGTACGAGCTCTGGTCCTCCACCAAGCGGCTGACGGACCTGTGTGGCGAGCTGTTGGACGTCATGACGGGGTCTGATCTAGCACAGGTAGGTGACTTAACTTTGAGGGGGAGGGGGGATGAGGGGGCGTGCTGCGGTATGGGTTGTGTGTTTGGCCCCCCGCACAAAGGTGCTTTGCTCTCCCCAAAGTTCACATAGCAGTCGCGCGTCATCACTTTGGGCTTCACAGCACCGGTTTGCAACTTTGGACCTGCTTGCTGTTGTTTTCCTTTTTTGACTTGGCATGTAGCATACAACTCTCCTGGCCCTTTTCCCCCCGTCCCCCCTCTCCCCCGTCCCCCTCTCCCTCCCCTCTCCCCCCTCTCCCCCTCTCCCTCGCCACCTGCGACCCCGCGGCTACAGCTGCTGACGGCGCTGTCCCGCGTCAACTTCTACCCGGGCCGGGTTTTCCTGGCGGCACACGCCCGCGCTACAGCCCGAGTGGGCGCCCAGCTGGCTCCCGCGGACAAGGAGGCGCTAGCGACGTGCTACAACCGGCTGGCCGCACTGGCGCCCAGGATGGCGGAGGAGGCGCGGCGCCAGGCGGAGGCGCGCCAGGCGCGGGCTGCTGTGGTGGTGGCTGACCCATGGGTCAGTTGAAGTCAACTGACCCGTGGGTCGGTTGGATGCAGTTAAGGCTTGTGACTTGGTTGGGTTACGGAGGTGGTCCCCGGGGAGGGGGGCGAGGGGGAGGGGAAGGTGGGAGAAGAAGAGCAACTGGCAATTGGAAGGCGATGGGGGCAGTTGTAGTGGCTGTAGTGGTGGTTGTGGTGTGATTCATCACCCATCATGTATGTGGGTCACAGTTGCAGCTAAATGGAGGATGTGGGAGGGGGGAGGGAGGTGTTGCTGAGTATGAATCGTGTGTTGTTGGGAATTGAAAAAAGGTAAGCCGTTGGCATATCCAGGCAACGTCCGTGGGGAGAAAGACAATTATTGTTATTATTATTATTATAATGATGATGATGATGATGATGGTAGTGATGGTGGTTAAATGGGCGAATGAAGGAGAAAAAAAGGAGGGGGCTCCGCTCTCGCACCAGCCGCGGACACAACGCCTCCACGGTGGCGATGGTTGTGGTTTAGGGGGGGGCCGGGGGGGGGGGGCAAAGGGGGTTTTGAAAAGCGGGGAATGTCTTCAATGAGGACAGAAAGGTCCTCAAGCAGGCGCTTCCCAAAGGGAAGCTCTCGGCGTGTATGTATGTATGTATGTATGACTTAGATTACACTGTGGGCCGCGAGAGCCGGGAGCCCAGGGCCAAAACACAGCACGGGGGGCGGATGCACACGGCCCGTTAGTCTCGTGCACTCCGCCCCCGGGTCAGGCCGCACGGGAAACGACGGCCGGCACACATCAGCGCTCCCCTTCGGGGGTTGGCGCTCCAGCTAGACGGGATCTATGCCCGCTGGTCTCCTAACATAAACGAAGTCGCAACCGGGAGGCTCTTCCTGCCGACAGAACGCACCGAGCACCTTAGAAAGCTCGGACCAGGACCTGGACGATCGGGAGCCCGACGAATCATCCCGGGCTGGGGAGTCACCAAGCTCAAAAACCTCGCACAAAAAGAGCGCAAAGAGCTCACACCACAAGACGCCAAACAGCCTCCTGAGTCTACTACCCTCCTCCGCCTCTCCCTCCCTGGGCTAGTCCAAGGGAGATAGCACCCGTATGTATGTATGTATGGGGGGAGATGAAATCCTACAGCTCTGAGACTTGTGGCTGTTGACGGGTGCCCCTCCGGGGTCAGAAGGGGTTCAGGGTTTGA